ACCTTGTTTGTTTACATTCTTCGTGAGCTCAGTAAGCACTAAGTCTCTCCATTTTGTCTGGAAACTCCAAAATTTCAAATGTTTTTAAAAGTTATTTCATATTTTATATATACTCTGATAATTATACTTATGTATACCTGTACTTAAATAAACTTACATACTGTGCTGGCATGCAGGTACACATTAAAATCAGTAAGAGTGTCTTATGTCTCCAGACGTCATATTAGTAATGATAATAATAATCATCGTCTCATTTAAATGTCGTATATTACGTTAAATACACATTTTCATTAATCCATCTATGATATTTTTTAAAAATTATATAATAAACACGATACATAACATAAAAAGATGTTAAATACACCCCACAATAGAATAAATAAACATAAATATGAGATGTGGTAGCAGACGACTTGCACAAATGATGCCATATTAGAAATGCTAATTTTTTTTTTTTTTTTTTTTTTCAACAAGTCGGCCGTCTCCCACCGAGGCAGGGTGACCCAAAAAAGAAAGAAAATCCCCAAAAAGAAAATACTTTCATCATCATTCAACACTTTCACCACACTCGCACATTATCACTGTTTTTGCAGAGGTGCTCAGAATACAACAGTCTAGAAGCATAAACATATAAAGATACACAACATATCCCTCCAAACTGCCAATATAATAATAATAATAATAATAATAATAATAATGCTAATAATAATAATAATAATCACCGAGTCTTATTAAATGCTGTATATTACGTTAATATACACATTTTCATTAATCCATCCATGATATTTTTTTCAAAATTATATAATAAACACGATACATAACATAAAAAGATGATAAATACACCCTACAATAGAATAAATAAACATAAATATGAGATGTCGTAGCCAGATAACTTGTACAAGTGATGCCAAGAATAACATTTTCTCTAATCTAACATAAGAGAAAATGTGTTACTGGGGGTAACTGTAGAAAATTATTCCTTTCGTATGTATGTAAGTAAGTTTATTCAGGTATACACAAATACAGTTACATAGATTATCATACATAACAACATATGTGTAGAGAACCTAGGATAACCCAAAAAAGTCAGAGTGACTTATTTCCATTGCCTTCAATCAGAGCAACATTTCTTCTCAAAATGATGTTACATGAGAATGGGAGTGTTCTTCTTTATTTATTCTACCGTATCAATGTAGAGACAACCTGTACACAATGTAACTTGTACACAAACCAGACGTGTACACTTCGTTTACAAAACTTACCTTCGCCTGGTTTGTTTACATAACTCTGCGCCTGTCCTCTCTCATGCATTCATTCTTTCTCTCTCTCATTTATTCGTTTTACCTCATTTACTTACTCCTGACCCTACATTAAGACTACAAATATTTTAAGGTAAGTAATGAGTGAACTGTATATACATTTTATCGCTCTGGGATGCTTAAATATCATGGAATATATGTGTGGGTGGGTTGGCCTGGTATGGTAGCCCGGCTGACTACCATACATACCACATTGATTTTTTACAATAAATACTACTCATCTCACCCTATATTTTAAGGTAAGTAATGAGTGAACTGTATATACATTTTATCGCTCTGGGATGCTTAAATATCATAGAATTGTATGTGGGTGGGGTGGCCTGGTATGGTAGCCTGGCTGACTACCATACATACCACACTTGATTTCTTACAATAAATACTACTTGTCTCACCCTAGATTAAGACTATAAATATTTTAAGGTAAGTAATGAGTGCACTATGTGTGTATTGTACTTTTTATTGTTTTTTGATGCCTGGTTCTATTGCTAACTTAATATATGTTAGTGTAAACTTGTTATCTAGTGTTTGTATGCATTTGTAAGTGGAAAAAAAGGGTGTTCCACTTTACGGCGGTTTCCGCTTTACGGCGGTAGCCTGGAACCTATCCAGCCGTATAAGTGGGGCCTTCCTGTAAGTAAATAAATAAATAAATAAATAAATAAAAATAAACAGCTAAGAGTTTTGTGGACTGAGACAATGTAATTGGCCTTAAATAGGAGTCAAAGTGGGCAAAAATAACGCTGACGCAGCAAAATTCGTCACAGCGTAATTTCATCAATTTTTCATCAAATTTCATAATTTGATCAGGGGTCTAAACCACTGAAAGGGTTAAACCAAAAACACAGTCACAGTTTTTTTTTCTCATTATTCACTCTGTGCTGCAGGATTCTTTTATGTGGTTCACATTTGCCACACAGACCCATTCTCTCTTATCTAGGCCCAAATTTAATGCTCACATGTTATCTGAGTGAGCTGAGCTCATGCCGTTAAACAATAGCACAGACCCAGGCTTCAAAACCATAGAACAACGGCACAGACCCTCAAGTGGTTAAAGGATTAATAATAAGTAGAATTAAGCCAGTGGACCCTCGCCTAACGATATTAATCCGTTCCTGAGAGCTCAACGTTAGGCAAAATTATCGTTAGCAGAATTAATTTTCCTCATAAGAAATAATGGAAATCAAATTAATCCGTTCCTGACACCCCAAAGTATGAAAAAAAAAAATTTTTACCACATGAAATATTAATTTTAATACACACAAACTGAAGAAGACATGTACAATTACATGACACTTACCTTTATTGAAGATCTGGTGATGATTGATGGGATGGGAGGAGGGGACAGTGTGGATGGTGTTAATGTTTAGAAGGGGAATCCCCTTCCATTAAGACTTGAGGTGTCAAGTTCTTTTCTGGGGTTACTTCCCTTCTTCTTTTAATGCCACTAGGACCAGCTTGAGAGTCACTGGACCTCTGTCGCACAACATATCTGTCCATAGAGCTCTGTACCTCCCGTTCCTTTAAGATTTGTCTAAAATGGGCCATAACGCTGTCATTGTAATAAGTCACCAGCACGGCTTGCAATAGCTGTGTGAGGGTGATTTTCATCCATAAAGGTTTGCAGTTCAACCCACATTGCACATGTTTCCTTAGTCTTTGAAGTAGGCACAATAGATTCCACAACTGGCACAGGTGTCTCAGGGTTAGCCCCAAACCCTTCAAAATCTTTCTTAATTTCCATACTAATTCTCACCCTTTTTATCACAGGGTTGGCACTAGAAGCTTTCTTGGGGCCCAGGGTGACTTATTTTGCAGGTGCAATCACTAAAAACGCTGTGATAATATGAAATGTTCTGATTGTATGTTTGGATGCGACCGCGGTGGCTAGCTTGTAAACACTGGCACTCACGGGACAAGTGAAGCGTGTGGTCGCGTCTCGAACAGAACGAATCGCTTTGGGCGAGTTTTTTAGTGCTAGCTGAGGCAAAATTTTTGCGTTAAAATGTATTGCTAGGCGGATTTAACGTTATGCGATGTGTTCGTTAGGCGAGGGTCCACTGTAATGACCTTTTTAATCATGATTAGAGCCAAAAAATTAATAAAACTGAAAACAGAAAAATGTGAAACTTGTTTAACCCTTTCAGGGTTTCGGCCATACTAGTACTGCTTACGCACCAGGGTCCTTGACATACTAGTACGCATAAATTCTAGCGCCCTCAAATCTGGTGAGAGAAAGCTGGTAGGCCTACATATGAAAGAATGGGTCTATGTGGTCAGTGTGCGCAGTATAAAAAAAAATCCTGCAGTACACAATGCATAATGAGAAAAAAAACTTTGACCGTGTTTTTGGATTAAAACAGCGACTTTGCACTGTATTTTGTTATTATTATTTTTTATTATCACACTGGCCGATTCCCACCAAGGCAGGGTGGCCCGAAAAAGAAAAACTTTCACCTTCATTCACTCCATCACTGTCTTGCCAGAAGGGTGCTTTACACTACAGTTTTTAAACTGCAACATTAACACCCCTCCTTCAGAGTGTATGGTATTTATTGTTGTATTCTAGTTTTCCTAGTCTCATTTTATAGAATGAAAGACATATTACAGAAATTGAGATGATTTTGACTTGTTTTACAATGAAAAGTACCTTGAAATTGAGCTCAAAGTAGCAGAAATGTTCGATTTTTACCAAAGTTCAAAAGTAAACAAATCATGCTAAGTGTCCAATACACGTCAACTGGTGAGTATAATATTCTTTCACAAGTGCTCTGATATTATTTATACCATTTCTGCACTAATGCAGTAGTCTGCATAACAGTAAATCTTCTATTTTTTTGTGAGAATAAAAATTCAAAGTGGAAAGCAAGAGAATGTATGAGAGCCCTGGGGACGTGACTAATGAACAGAGGAAATGTTATTTTAGTGCCAGGAGTGTCTTTCCTGTTTATTCTGGACCCTATTTGGAAACTGGCATCTTTTGAAATATGTGTGAAATTGGCAAATTGCTAAATTCTGACCACTGTATTAGATAGTTGAAATCGGTAAATGGGTGGTTTCTTGTACTCGTTCGATAGAAAAAATGGAGTTCTAGCGAAATAGTTATGATTTTTGTCGACTAGTACACTGGAATTGGCTGAAAATAGGGTTCAAAGTGGGCAAAATAGCCGATACATAAACATCGTCGAGACCGCTAAATTCGCGAGGGCATAATTCCGTAAGTTTTCCATTAAATTTCATACTTTTGGTGTTATTATAATTGGGAAAAGATTCTCTATCTTTTCATAAGAAAAATAATTTTTTTTTTTAAATTTGGGGGACCCTGAGAACAAGTTTCTGAGAGGGCCTGTGGACCCTGAAAGGGTTATTAAATTACTCAATATGCATGAATTCACAGGTGATCTGTGACTGTCTTGGATTTTTCAGATTTCTTAAGGATGACCAAATAGCACCCATTGCATTATCAATCTAGACACCTAGAAAAAACTCTACTAAAAATAATTCTAAACAACAAATTCCAGATTCAGAAAATAACAGGGATAGTAGTTGAAGAATATGCATAATGTTTACTTTGGGTAATACAGCATAAAATAACTATGTAAGTTTTCATGATCTTATTACTGATGACATGAAGTCAAGGATATTCATTAATTACATATGATGAAAATGAAAGCCAAAACTCACTGCATCTATGAGAGTCTTAGCTGCCTTGTTCAAGATGATTCTATCACACCAAGAGGGGCACCTGGTCTGCATGTAGTGAGACCCATCCCCATCAGCACCTTCTTCAAATGGGTAACTCGGAGGAAAGGTGATAGGAAACTCGGTCAGTCTGTCACCAAACTGAGCCAATTCTTGATCAAATTCATGAAGCTGGAACAATATTAAAGACATTCTTTTAACTGGTCTAACAGTATATTTGGGATATATTAATAAGCTCAGCAGTGAAAAAGTTAAAACCTAAAATAGAATTACCAGGTATTACATGAAACACAGTAGGTATTGCATGTATACTCTGTAAAACTTAAAGGTTTATCAAATGTTTTTTACTTAAGAAAATAACTAAATAATATATCCAACGATAATCTTAATAGACAATAAGAAATGACAAAAATATACACAGTAAAGCTTAGATATGGCCATACAATTTTTTTTTTTTTTTTTTCAACAAGTCAGCCATCTCCCACCGAGGCAGGGTGACCCAAAAAAGAAAGAAAATCCCCAAAAAGAAAATACTTTCATCATCATTCAACACTTTCACCACACTCGCACATTATCACTGTTTTAGCAGAGGTGCTCAGAATACAACAGTTTAGAAGCATATACCTGTAAAGATACACAACATATCCCACCAAACTGCCAATATCCCAAACCCCTCCTTTAAAGTGCAGGCATTGTACTTCCCATTTCCAGGACTCAAGTCCGACTATATGAAAATAACCGGTTTCCCTGAATCCCTTCACTAAATATTACCCTGCTCACACTCCAACAGATCGTCAGGTCCCACGTACCATTCATCTCCATTCACTCCTATCTAACACGCTCATGCATGCTTGCTGGAAGTCCAAGCCCCTTGCCCACAAAACCTCCTTTACCCCCTCTCTCCAACCTTTTCGAGGACGACCCCTACCCCGCCTTCCTTCCCCTATAGATTTATATGCTTTCCATGTCATTCTACTTTGATCCATTCTCTCTAAATGACCAAACCACCTCAACAACCCCTCTTCTGCCCTCTGACTAATACTTTTATTAACTCCACACCTTTTAATAATTTCCACACTCCGAATTTTCTGCATAATATTTACACCACACATTGCCCTAAAACAGGACATCTCCACTGCCTCCAACCGTCTCCTCGCTGCTGCATTTACCACCCAAGCTTCACACCCATATAAGAGTGTTGGTACTACTATACTTTCTTACATTCCCTTCTTTGCCTCCATAGATAACGGTTTTTGTCTCCACATATACCTCAACGCACCACTCACCTTTTTTCCCTCATCAATTCTATGATTAACCTCATCCTTCATAAATCCATCCGCCGACACATCAACTCCCAAGTATCTGAAAACATTCACTTCTTCCATACTCCTCCTCCCCAATTTGATATCCAATTTTTCTTTATCTAAATCATTTGATACCCTCATCGCCTTACTCTTTTCTATGTTCACTTTCAACTTTCTACCTTTACACACATTCCCAAACTCATCCACTAACCTTTGCAATTTTTCTTTAGAATCTCCCATAAGCACAGTATCATCAGCAAAAAGTAACTGTGTCAATTCCGATTTTGAATTTGATTCCCCAAAATTTAATCCCACCCCTCTCCCGAACACCCTAGCATTTACTTCCTTTACAACCCCATCTATAAATATATTAAACAACCATGGTGACATTACACATCCCTGTCTAAGACCTACTTTTACCGGGAAGTAGTCTCCCTCTCTTCTACACACCCTAACCTGAGCCTCACTATCCTCATAAAAACTCTTTACAGCATTTAAAAACTTACCACCTATTCCATATACTTGCAACATCTGCCACATTGCTCCTCTATCCACTCTATCATATGCCTTTTCTAAATCCATAAATGCAATAAAAACTTCCCTACCTTTATCTAAATACTGTTCACATATATGCTTCAACGTAAACACTTGATCTACACATCCCCTACCCACTCTGAAACCTCCTTGCTCATCCGCAATCCTACATTCTGTCTTACCTTCTAATTCTTTCAATTATAACCCTACCGTACACTTTTCCTGGTATACTCAGTAAACTTATTCCTCTATAATTTTTACAGTCCCTTTTGTCCCCTTTCCCTTTATATAAAGGGACTATACATGCTCTCCGCCAATCCCTAGGTACCTTCCCCTCTTTCATACATTTATTAAACAAAAGTACCAACCACTCCAACACTGTATCCCATACAAATTTGAATATAATAATTTCATCAAATTTTTTCCGATCATTACTCACCCAGCTGCCATTATCCTTGACAAAGATTGTCTGATGTTCATAATGTCTGAAGGCTTTTTTGGAAATAGTGAGTAGTACCTTTCCTTCATTGTCCCTAAACTCTTGAGCCTTTTCCCCAGTGTCTGGCAACTCTGCCTCTACTGCTGTACAGTCTTGAGTCAGTTTCTGAGTAAAGGAAATAGAAATGCTAATACACGTCATATTTAAGATGACAAAATAATAGTAGAAATATTATAATTTAACACTATTTAAGGTACAGAATAACCAATAAAATTGAATTATACAATTTGCTGATATTCAAGCCATTCAGTCTGCTCCTGCATGCTAAATTTATATGCAGTTTAAAAACTTTTGTCCCTGATGCTTGTAAAGGTAGAGATGCATTTTCAAAAAGTGGATATTTGTTGGTATTGTCTAACAGCATTCCAGATAGCAGTGATACTACAGTATATAACACACACATGGTTTTGTGAAGGAAATAAATAAAATGTAAATGAACGAAAAATTATCAGACTTGAGTTGGGAGACTGGTGCTGAGTCTCCTGCAACTATCCTAAGTTTCTGCATTAAACTTACTACCACACAGTGAAACACACAAAACAATGATCAACTTATGTAATACTGTAGAAATACTCTCATAATTATGAAAAATAAAATAATTAGTAAATAGTTTGTATTATAATAGAGGTATTATACAGATGCCAAGTACAGTGCCATATCTGTGTGCCTCTGACAACGCAGTAATAGCATTAATGGCGAAAGTGTTTCTTTTTCGGGTCACCCTGCCTCAATGGGAGAGAGCAGGGTGACTTGCACTTTGTAAAGCAGGTGGAGATGGTGCAGTTATGGGTTATCACGATGTCTGTGCCAGTCTGGATACCCAGCTAAAGAGCAAGTGATCTTAAAAGTATTTTCTCTTTGAAATACTGTGCTTTTGTGGGTAAAAAACATTGCTTAAAAAATAAAAATGTTGCACTGCAAATTTTGTAGATGGAATAGTCTTTGCCCATGTATGACTCGTGTACAGCTTCTCCTCACTTAGCGACGCACTTGTTTACCAATGAATCGGACTTACGACAGGCACTATGACCAGTTTCCATACCTAAATAATATACAGTGGACCCTCGCATAGTGCTATTAATCCGTTCCTGAGAGCTCAATGTTATGCGAATGAATTTTCCCCATAAGAAATAATGGAAATCAAATTAATCCATTCCTGACACCCAAAAGTGTGAAAAAAAAAATTTTTTACCACATGAAATATTAATTTTAATACACACAAACTGAAGAAGACATGCACAGTTACATGACACTTACCTTTATTGAAGATCTGGTGATGATTGATGGGATGGGAGGAGGGGAGAGTGTTGATGGTCTTAGTGTTTAGAAGGGGAATCCCTTTCCATTAAGACTTGATTTGTCAAGTCCTTTTCCGGGGTTACTTCCCTTCTTCTTTTAATGCCACTAAGACCAGCTTCAGAGTCACTGGACTTCTGTCGCACAACATATCTGTCCATAGAGGTCTGTACCTCTCGTTCCTTTATGACTTTCCTAAAGTGGTTCACAACATTGTCAGTGTAATAGTCACCAGCACAGCTTGCAACAGCTGTCTGAGGGTGTTTTTCATCCATAAAGGTTTGCACTTTAAGCCACTTTGCACACATTTCCTTAATCTTTGGAGTAGGCAACTTCTTCAATTTCTCTCTCCCCTCCTCCAAAGCAGTTTCCTCAGGTGTGGCCTCATGCTGATGAAGATGATCTAGCAGCTCTTCAGTGGTTAGTTCTTCATTGTCCTCCTCCACCAACTCTTCCACATCATCCCCACTAACCTCCAACCCAAAGGACTTTCCCAATGCCACAATGGATTCCTCAACTGGCATACTCCTCTCAGGGTTAGCCTGAAACCCTTCAAAATCCCTTTGGTCTACACATTCTGGCCACAGTTTCTTCCAAGCAGAGTTCAAGGTCCTCTTAGTCACTCCCTCCCAAGCCTTACCTATAAGGTTTACACAATTGAGGATATTAAAGTGCTCTCTAAAAAACTCTCTTAGAGTCAATTGAGTTTCTGAGGTCACTACAAAGCACCTTTCAAACAGAGCTTTTGTGTACAGTTTTTTGAAGTTTGCAATAACCTGTTGGTCCATGGGCTGCAGGAGAGGAGTGGTATTAGGAGGCAAAAACTTCACCTTAATGAAGCTCATGTCCCCACAAAGTCGCTCTGCCAAGTCTGTAAGATGATCAGGGGCATTGTCTAACACCAGGAGGCACTTAAGGTCTAATTTCTTTTCAGTTAGGTAATTTTTAACATTGGGGGCAAATGCTTGGTGTAACAAGTCATAGAAAAAGTCCCTAGTGACCCATGCCTTGCTGTTTGCCCTCCACAGCACACACAAATTAGCCTTGAGGATATTCTTTTGCCTGAACACTCTGGGAATTTCAGAGTGATACACTAATAAAGGCTTCACTTTGCAATCACCACTAGCATTGGCATGCATTAACAGAGTAAGCCTGTCTTTCATAGGCTTATGTCCTAGGAGTGCCTTTTCCTCCTGAGTAATGTAGGTCCTGCTTGGCATTTTCTTCCAAAACAGGCCTGTTTTGTCACAATTAAATACTTGTTCAGGTTTCAGTCCTTCACTGTCTATGTGCTCCTTGAATTCCTGCACATATTTTTCAGCTGCTTTGTGGTCCGAACTGGCAGCCTCACCATGCCTTATTACACTATGTATGCCACTACGCTTCTTAAATCTCTCAAACCAACCTTTGCTGGCCTTAAATTCACTCACATCATCACTAGTTGCAGGCATTTTTCTAATTAAATCCTGATGCAACTTCCTAGCCTTTTCACTTATGATCGCTTGATAGATGCTATCTCCTGCTATCTGTTTTTCTTTTATCCACACCAATAAGAGTCTCTCAACATCTTCTATCACTTGCGATCTCTGTTTCGAAAACACAGTTGAACCTTTGGCAAGAACAGCTTCCTTGATTGCCGTTTTCTTGGACACAATAGTAGCGATGGTTGATTGGAGTTTACTATACAACCTGGCCAGCTCGGAGACACGTACTCCACTTTCATACTTAGCAATGATCTCTTTCTTCATCTCTATAGTAATTCTCACCCTTATTCCTGTAGGGTTGGCACTGGAAGCTTTCTTGGGGCCCATGGTCACTAATTTTGCAGACGAATTCACCAAAAACGCTGTAATAATACGAAATGTTCCGATTGTATGCTTGGATGTTACCGCGGAGGCTGGCTTGTAAACAATGCCACCGGCGGAACATATGAGGCTGGCTCAGGCCGCACATTAGACGTGTCTCGGACGAATAGCGTTGAGCGAGTTTTTTAGCGGTATGCAAGGCAAAATTTTAGCGATAAAATGTATCAGTATGAGGATTTAACATTATGTGATGTCAACAGTATGCGAGGGTCCACTGTATATCAGAGCTCATTTCCTCTATTCTGTTAATTACAATATACAGTACACTACTGTATAAATATTTAATAATGTACCAAAACTGTTATAAATGGTGCAAAGATGACATTAAAACAATATCAAAGATGGTTGAAACAAACCCAATACTTTTATAGCATCCTCCTCAATTAGTGATGAATTCATTTACCAACGTGGTCTTAGGAACAGAACTCCATCATTAAGTGAGGAGAGGCCGTATTTCAATATTAGCTCACCTGTACAACTGCATGAGTATTCATTCTGAAGTTGAAGTCACCAAACAAGAAGATTGGCACATTTTCAAATCCGTCATTGTGAAACCTTGGAGGAGAAAACAAGATTCCATTTAGCAAATAATACAAAAGATTCCGCCTAAAATTTTTTCAGTTACAGTACACCGTTATATTACACAGTAGCTACATTCCCGAAAACTCCATGTTAGGTAAATCTGTGTTAGATAAACTGAAGAACTTATGGGAAAAAATAGGGTTACGTCCCCAAAAAAGCCAAACAATTTTTTTTTAGACCCCCAGATTTTACAAAAGTAAAAGTGAATATGTAACTGTTGTTCACTGTCGTGATGCATTATGTTTTTACTGCTTAAGACTACAAATGCAACAGATATCATAGTATTTCTTACCTTAAATTGTGGGTGCTTGTGTTTGTCGATGATTGAGAAGAGGGTGGAGAGTTATGCTGTGGTTTTATTGAGCTGAGGGAGATGGTAGAGCTCCTTTTATTGAAGTCGATGGTTGTATTGGAGTGTGCATAAATTCTGTAATGCCTTTCTGGGCTATTTTACCTGGCAGTACGTTATACAGCTGACGTTAAGGCATCAGCATTTCAGAGCACTACTTCTAGATTTGTCAGGGTCCTCTTCAGTGAGGTCAAATTTAACCCTTTCATTGTTGGTGCAATAGTAATACAGCTTGCAAGCCAGTGTTGGTGCTATAGTACTATGACAAAATTCTAGCAGGAGAAAGATGGTAGACCTATGTGAGAGAATGAGTCTACGTGGTCAGTGTGCGCAGAATAAAAAAATCGGAAAGCCATTGGTGCATTGTGGGAGTCCCATTACAGTAGTCCTTGTTCAGCATGACTAGTGGTAAGAAATATCTAGTCTCCCCAGGAAACTGGGACTCTTCTCTTCCCAAGTGATAGTTCTAACACAGATGGAAGTGTCAGTGAGGATGAATTTCATAGTTTTGAGGAGTGTGTAACTGAAAGCAATGTGCAGGATACCAGAAATAGTGCTGAAAACCCACACGACCATCAACCTAGGATAACCCAAAAAACGTAAGTGACTTATTCCCAAGTGGGTGGTGGGGAAGACACCATGCTTGGTGGGATAGACGGTATGGGTAATGGGTCTCACAGGCCACAAAAGTTACTTGAAAAAATATTAAAAAATAAAATAATAATAGAATAAAAGTAAAAACAATATAACCAAGTAAGTGGCAGTCACCGATGTTGGCGTAAGCGGTTCACTTTCTGTCAATTTAACACGTCTATATCTCGCTAAATACTGATTGCAAATTTTTTTCTTTTTAACCCTCTGACTGTTTCGGTCGTATATATATGTCTTACGAAGTACATATACCGTGTTTGACATATATATACTCATAAATTCTAATGGCTTCAAATCAAGCAGGAGAAAGCTGGTAGGCCCACATGGGAGAGAATGGGTCTGTGTGGTCAGTGTGCACCATATAAAAAACATCCTGGAGCACGCGGTGAATAGTGAGAAAAAAAAACTCTGACAGTTTTTTTAATTAAAATGCCGACTTTGTGGTGTATTTTCGTATAGCATTTATGGTTGTATTCTCGTTTTCTTAGTCCCATTTGATAGAAATAGAGGTGATTTTGATTGGTTTTACTATAAAATGAACCTGGAAATGGAGCTCAAAGTACGGGAAATGTTTGATTTTTTGCCCATGTTCAAAGGTAAACAAATGATGTCATTGTTCAATAAATGTCCAACTAGCCATTCTAATTTGCAGTCATGAATGGGTTGACATTATTTATATAATTATTACAATATTGCAGTAGTCTGCATAACAGTAAATCTTCTATTTTTTGTTTGAATAAAAATTCAAAACAGAAAGCAAGAGTAATATCACAGGGGCCTGGAGACGTGACTGATGAACAAAGAAAATGTTATTTTAGAGCCAGGAATGTCTGCATTGTTCATTCTGGACCCTATTTTGAAATTGTCATATTTTTTAATTTTCGTGAAATTGGCCAAATTGCTAATTTCTCACCACATTATTGGGTAGTTGAAATCGGCAAATGGGAAGTTTCTTGTACTCAATTGATAGAAAAAATGGAGTTCTAAAGAAATAGCTATGAGTCTGGTCTACTGGAACAATGGAATTAGCTGAAAATGGGGCTCAAATTGGACGAAATCGCCCATTTGCAAATGTCGCCGACTTCGCTAACTTTGCGAGAGTGTAATTTTGTCAGTTTTCCATCAAATTACAATTTTTTGGTGTCATTACAATTGGGAAATGATTCTCTATCATTTCTTAAGATTTTTTTTTTTTTTTTTTTTTGAAATTTTGCGACACCAGGAGACACCTCAGGATTGGGGGTTGCGACAGTCAAGATTAAACACTCAGAAAAATATTCTTAAGATTTCGGTAGGAATTTTTTTTTTTTTTAATATTTTTCGACACTGAGAACAGGTTTGTGATCAGGGGTATCGACAGTGAAAGGGTTAAAGTCGGCAAGTCTGTAAAGTCAAGTAAGTCAGTCAGTCATTCAAGGTAATCTACTGTTTTTGTTTTTAATTCATTCTTTTATTATTATATTCACCAGCTCCTTTATTTTAGCTGTAAATATCTACCGTAGTTCATAAACTCACATTTGTTAAAATAATTAAGGTGCTATTTAGATGCTTAAGTGTATAACTGAATTATCTATTCTATAATAATCTGTAGTTCTTTCATTTTTTTAAAAGTTTTAGAATAATTACAAAGTCTTATTCCTAAGTCTAGTTGTAGATTCAATATAAATCTTATAATATTTTACTCAGAAAATCTAGTGTGTAAAATCACTCTCATCTTATGACTACAGGCATAGATTCTGATGTAAACTTTTTACTAAATGAATTACACGAATCAAACAGTAACTGTAATTACTATACAGCAGACCAAGCAAAGACATTATTCAGTGCAAACAATAACATAACCATCTTTAACTACAACGTCAGATCCTTTAACCCTTTCAGGGTCTGTCCCGTAGATCTACGGCTTTACGTTCAGGGTCCAAACCGTAGATCTACGCCATGAGCTCAGCTCACTCTGATAAACTGTGAGTGGTACATTTGGGCCTAGATATGAGAGAATACATCTATGTGGTATGTGTGCACCACATAAAACAGATCCTGCAGCACACTGTGTATAATGAGAGAAAAAAAATGAAATCATGATTTTTCGATTAAAACAGCAACTTTGCAGTGTTTTTTCGTATGTTTTTTATAGGTGTATTTGCGATTTCTTGGTCTCATTTGATAGAATGGAAGACATATTACAGAAATAGAGATGATTTTGATTGGTTTTCGCACTGGAAATGGCTTGAAACTGAGCTCAAAGTAGCAGAAATGTTAAATTTTTGCCGATATTCAAGAGTAAACAAACGACTTCACACGTCTAATACACATCAGCTGGTGGGTCTAATATACATTCACAAATATGGTGATGATATTTATACAATTATTACAGTATTGCATAACAGTAAATCTTCTATTTTTTGGTGTGAATAAAAATTCATTATGTGAATAAAAAATCAAAATGGAATTTATTTGTAAAGCCTCAAAACATAACTAATGAACAGAGGAAATGTTAGTTTAGTGCCAGGAATGCCTACATTGTTCATTCTGGACCCTATTTTGAAATTGGAATATTTTGAACTTTGTGTTAAATTGGCCAAATTAACAATTTCCGATCACTTTATTTTGTAGTTGAAACAGTTGACTTGGCGATTTCTTGTGCTCAATCGATAGAATAGAAGTAATACTAGTGAAATAGCTAAGAATTTGGTTGACTGGAATAATGTAATTGGCCTAAAATGGGAGTCAAAGTCGGCAAAATCGCCGATTCGTAAATATCGCTGACACATCAAAATTCGCGAGAGCATAATTTCGTCAATTTTCCACCAAATTTCGTACTTTTTGTTTTATTACCTTCACAAAAAGATTCTCTACGATTTCATAAGAAAAAATAACAATTTTTTTTTTTGAAAATTCTTGGACACTGGTGCGTGACTCCAGATTTGGGCCTTGGACCCTGAAAGGGTTAACAAACATTATGACGACCTTAATGCATTACTCAATTCCCTTCATTCCAACATATCAATCATCACACTCACAGAAACCTGGCTTAAGCCTGATATTACAGATGTCTATACCATTCCTGGCTACATGGCCATACACAACTGTAGAACAGACCAGCAAGGGGGAGGAACAGCTATATACTACTCAAATCAACTCAAATGTATCAATAAATCTTGCACAAGGGATGAACATGGAGAATATATCATAGCCAAATTTAACCCTTTCAGGGTCGACAGGCCCTGTCAGAGACTTGTTCCCAGGGTCAGCCAAATTTCAAAAAAAAAAAAAAAAAAAAAAAAAAAAAAAAAAAAAAAAAAAAAAAAATTCTTATGAAAACAATAATTTTTTTTCTAAACATTATAGGCTAAACAAAAAATTGTTACCATCAATACTTACCGAGATATGGAGGCGTGAAGTTTACCAAAAAGGAACATCATGTGGTAACATCGCCAACTGCAGTCACCCGGTATTCTTTTATTTAGTGTTTTATGCACTTTTTTCTATTATTTTTTTACTTTTTTTTTCCAAGTAACTTTTATGGCCTGTGAGACCAATATGATCAGTATTTTGTAAGTTATTTCTTTTTCAATACTACACAATAATGGCATAAACACTGTTATCATTGTTTTGTTTACAGAAAATATTTACATAAATGATATGAAATGTTGTTTATTACTATTTTTCTATATTTTATACACATATACAGTCACAGGGAATGTTTCTAGAAGTTCTGCAGCCTGTGGAAGTCTTTGAAACATGGTGTCATGCACAGTGGTGTTTTACACTCCTCACACATAAAACGAGTGTCTGCATTGTTGTGGGCGTTTTTTTGTACGTGCACAGACATAACACCTCTTCTATGCTTTTTTCTTGAAAGCAGTAGCAGGCAGTTATACCAGGAAGTGATCACCATGCTTCAAATGAGAAGGAAGTTGTTGAAAATTTGGTGGGCGGTCTATTTGAGGTGTTGTTCCTTGTACTATTTGTC